GAGACTATATAGACTAGACTATAGACTAGACTATAGACTAGACTATAGACTAGACTATAGACTAGACTATAGACTAGACTATAGACTAGACTATAGACTAGACTATAGACTAGACTATAGACTAGACTATAGACTAGACTATAGACTAGACTATAGACTAGACTATAGACTAGACTATAGACTAGACTATAGACTAGACTATAGACTAGACTATAGACTAGACTATAGACTAGACTATAGACTAGACTATAGATATACTATAGACTAGACTATAGACTAGACTATAGACTAGACTATAGACTATACTATAGACGACTAGACTATAGACTAGACTAGACTAGACTATAGACTAGACTATAGACTAGACTATAGACGACTATAGACTAGACTATAGACTAGACTATAGACTAGACTATAGACTAGACTATAGACTAGACTATAGACTAGACTATAGACTAGACTATAGACTAGACTATAGACTAGACTATAGACTAGACTATAGACTAGACTATAGACTAGACTATAGACTAGACTATAGACTAGACTATAGACTAGACTATAGACTAGAATAGACTAGACTATAGACTATAGACTAGACTATAGACTAGACTAGACTATAGACTAGACTATAGACTAGACTAAAGACTAGACTATAGACTAGACTTAAGACTAGACTATAGACTAGACTATAGACTATAGACTAGACTATAGACTAGACTATAGACTAGACTATAGACTAGACTATAGACTAGACTATAGACTAGACTATAGACTAGACTATAGACTAGACTATAGACTAGACTATAGACTAGACTATAGACTAGACTATAGACTAGACTATAGACTAGACTATAGACTAGACTATAGACTAGACTATAGACTAGACTATAGACTAGACTATAGACTAGACTAGACTATAGACTAGACTATAGACTAGACTATAGACTAGACTATAGACTAGACTATAGACTAGACTATAGACTAGACTATAGACTGACTATAGACTAGACTATAGACTAGACTATAGACTAGACTATAGACTAGACTATAGACTAGACTATAGACTAGACTATAGACTAGACTATAGACTAGACTATAGACTAGACTATAGACTAGACTATAGACTAGACTATAGACTAGACTATAGACTAGACTATAGACTAGACTATAGACTAGACTATAGACTAGACTATAGACTAGACTATAGACTAGACTATAGACTAGACTATAGACTAGACTATAGACTAGACTATAGACTAGACTATAGACTAAACAATAGACACGACTATAGACCACACTATAGACTAGACTATAGATTCTGCTTATAATGTGTAAAATTAGATGTTTAAATTATATTGATGTAAAATTAACTAACTTCATAATTTGTTATTCATTATTTTAAATAATGCACACAAGCACTACTAACATAATTAAAGCATAAATTTAGAAAATGCATCTGATGCACAGATCATTTAAAGACTGTAAACATTACAGAAAAGAGAATGATAATGTAACTAATGTATAGGGAACAACTAACTTGTGATCGCAGAGACCATAATATAGATATCATAATATGGGATCTGAACTTTATTAAAATTGTTGTGAATTAATTTAGAAAGTATCACTGTATTTTCCACTAGTCATATCACTAGTTCTTTGTAAGCAGTTCTTCAGAAAGGCAGGGAGCCTTTAAATTCGTTGAATTTAATAACTTTTTATTAAAATGTTATAGGTTTCATATTTTTAAACAAATATGTATTTAATGTTTTATTACAAATTTAAAGAATTTTATATTTAAATTATAATGTTTGCCCACGGGAGAAGGTATTGTGGAATTGTTTTTTTTTTTCTTCTATTATAGTTTAAATTGTTTCAATTAAAATAAGTTTGTAATTAAAGTTTATTAACAAATATTTAGTTTTCTTTTCTTTTTTGTAGACTTGACTTAGTTTTGTATTAAGGCAGACAGACGTCAATGATGTAAAAAGTAATATGTAAAGACTTGGAATGACTTTTATTAAAAGACACTGTTTATTATAAAAGTTTTAAGTTATAAGAGATACAGGGTGATCACAGCCTTTCACAATTTAAGGATACACATTTTAATTCTACAGTACAGTCTATAGTTTGAACTACAGTCTAGTCTTTAGTCTGGACTATAGTCTAGTCTAAAGTGTGGACTACAGTCTAGTCTATAGTGTGAACTATAGTCTAGTGTATAGTCTTTACTATAGTCTAGTCGATAGTATGGACTATAGTCTAGTCTATAGTCTGGACTATAGTCTAGTCTATAGTATGGACTATAGTCTATAGTATGGACTATAGACTAGTCTACAGTCTATTCTATAGTCTGGATTATATTCTAGACTATAGTCTGGACTATAGTCTATAGGACTATAGACTATAGACTGGACTGTAGTCTAGTTCTATAGTCTGGACTATACTTTAGTCTATAGCCTGGATTATAGTCTAGTCGATAGTCTGGACTATAGTCTAGTCTATAGTCCGGACTATAGTCTAGTCTATAATTTGGACTATAGTCTAGTCTATAGTCTGGACTATAGCCTAGTCTATAGTCTGGACTATAGTCTAGTCTAAAGGCTGGACTATAGTCTAGTCTATAGTCTGTATATACTATAGGCCAACCTATAGTCTATTCTATACTCTAGTCTATAGTTTGAACTATAGTCTCCAGTCTAGTATATAGTCTGTTCTATAGTCTATAGTCTGCACTATAGTCTATAGATTGGACTATATAGTCTATAGTCTGGACTATACTTTAGTCTATAGTCTGGATTATAGTGTAGTCGATAGTCTAGTCTGGACGATAGTCTGGACTATAGTCTAATCTAAAGGCTGGACTATAGTCTAGTCTATAGTCTGTATATACTATAGGCCAACCTATAGTCTATTCTATACTCTAGTCTATAGTTTGAACTATAGTCTCCAGTCTAGTATATAGTCTGTTCTATAGTCTATAGTCTGCACTATAGTCTATAGATTGGACTATAGTATAGTCTATAGTCTGGACTATACTTTAGTCTATAGTCTGGATTTAGTGTAGTCGATAGTCTGGACGATAGTCTGGACTATAGTCTAGTCTATAGTCTGGTCTATAGTCTAGTCTATAATTTGGACTATAGTCTAGTCTATAGTCTGGACTATAGTCTAGTCTAAAAGCTGGACTATAGTCTAGTCTGGACTATAGTCTAATCAATAGTTTGTACTATAGTCTATAGTCTGGACTATAGCCTATAGATTGGACTATAGTCTAGTCTATAGTCTGGACTACACTTTAGTCTATAGTCTGGATTATAGTCTAGTCGATAGCCTGGACTATAGCGTAGTCTATAGTCTGGATTATAGTCTAGTCTATAATTTGGACTATAGTGTATTCTATAGTCTGGACTATAGTCTAGTCTAAAGGCTGGACTATAATCTAGTTTGTATATACTATAGGCCAACCTATAGTCTATAGTCTGAACTATAGTCTAGTCTATAGTCTGAACTATAGTCTAGTCTATAGTCTGGACTATAGTCTAATCAATAGTCTGGACTATAGTCTAGTCTGGACTGTAGTCTAATCAATAGCCTGGACTATAGTCTAGTCTATAGTCTGAACTATAGTGTAGTATATAGTCTAGTTTATAGTCTGGACTATAGTCTAGTCTATAGCCTGGATATATTCTGGAATATAGTCTAGTCTATAGTCTGGACTATAGTCTAGTCGATATTCCAGACTATAGTCTAGTCTATAGTCCAGGCTATAGTCTAGTCTATAGTCGGGGCTATAGTCTAGTCTAAAGTCTGGACTATAGCCTACTCTATAGTGTATGTCTGTACTATAGTCTAGTTTATAGTCTGGTCTATAGTATAGTTTATAGTCTGGACTAAAGTTATTCTGAACCATAGACTATAGGCTAGTTTATACTCAAGTCTGGACTAAAGCCTTTTTCATAGTCTGGACTATAGTCTAGTTATAATCTGGATTATAGTCCAGTTTATAGAGTTTACGGTCTGGATTAGTATATGGTCTGGACTATAGTCTTATCTATAGTATTGTAAATATTCTGGGTTATGGTGTTTTTATAGACTGGATAGCCTGGCCTATAGTCTGGATTATAGTCCAGTTTATAGTATGGACTTCAGAGTTGGTTATAGTAATGAGTACAGACTAATTTATAGACTATAAATTGTAGTATGGAAAGCGGCCTAGTTTATAGTCAGCGTTACAGTGTATTTTATAATCTGGACTATAGTCTAGTTTGAAGCTTGGTCTATAGTTTATGGTCTAGTTAATAGTCTACAGTTTTAGTTTTTATGCTGGACTATAGTCTGTACTATAGTGCAGTTTAATATAAAACACCCAATTCCATTTTTTATATATACTACATCCTTTTCCTTTATTTAGTTGTTGTTTTTTTTATTAATAAATTTATGCTAAACATATTTAATTATTGCAAAATTTTATAAAAAAAGAGAAATTAACATTAAATATTTGTGCTAAAAATTTCGTTTGTTCTTTCCCCTTGTAAAAAAAAGTATTGAATTCTAGATTATATACAAAACAGACAAATTAACAAATTAGTTTTTAATTAACAATACAAAAATTAAGTCTTTTACTTATAAAATAAGTTAAAATAGAAAATTTATTTATTTACGAATAGTTTACAGTTTTATTTTATTAAAATTACATCACATAAAGCTGCCAGCAGCATTTCTATTAATAAATAAAAAATTAATTTAAATTTTGTTAAAATTTTGATTCTTCTTTTGATTATTTACAAATAGTTACTAATTACAGTTTAAATTGCTGTTAAGGCAAACTTTTAAAATTTCTATATTACAAAATAATAACCTAGAATTATTAAATTTAAGTATAAAAAAAAAATACAAAATATTTAAATTAAAAGCCACCAAACTTGGACCAAACCATAACCGAGACCCTTTTCTCATCTTTAAGATCACATCCTTTACAAACGATTATGATCTATTCGCATGTTGTCACGAAACAATCCATGAATGTATTATTCCTGCAAGTAGTTGAAATAAATTATTTAGAATTTGTTCCATTACTTCTTCCAATAAAGTTCACTTACTATTTTCACCAGGCGATAATGTTATATGTATATCTTCTCTACTAAGTACTGGTTCTTGAAACGAAATAAAATTTTGTGAAAAAAACACATAAGTAAATTAATTACGCAAAACTTTTATGTTTTTATATTAAATTTAAGTCAATATTAATTTTAATTCAAATATTTGCTTAATTATGCCTCACAACTGTTGAGCTATTTTTATAAAAAACCAAATTATTTGTTTTAAATAAAAATTAGTTTAAATAGAACATAAACAAATAAACAACTTAAGTAGTAAATTAATAAATTACCAAATAAATAAACAACATGCATATTAATACAGTTTAATTTTTTTAAATATTTAATAATTTATTTAACAAACATTTTCACAGTAGCGACTTTAACGAACGGTTAAGGGAAACTCAATTTTTATAGAAAATACTAGTAGACTAGGGTCTGGAGTACAATCTAGTCTATAGTCAGGAATATTATCTAGCCTAGTGTGAAATATAGTTTAGTTATATGTGGACTGTAAATCGGACTGTGGTCTAGTGTATAGACCAGATTGTAATCTTGACTATATTTTAGTTTATATTCTAAATTACTATGTGGACTATATTCCACTTTATAGTCTATAGTCTATAGTATAGTTTATAGTCTAGACTATAGTCTAGTATATAGTCCAAACTAATGTCTATTCTATAGTCTATATAATCTAGTCTATAGTCCAGTCCATAGTCCGTTCTATAGTCTAGTACAGTTCATAGTCCGTTTTATAGTCTAGTCCAGTACATAGTCTAAACCAGTTCATAGTTTAGTCCAGTCCAGTATTATATGGTCTTTAGTAAAGTCTATAGTATAGTCTATAGTCTAGTCTATAGTCTAGTCTGTAGTCTAGTCTGTAGTCTAGTCTATAGTCTAGTCTATAGTCTAGTCTATAGTCTAGTCTATAGTCTAGTCTATAGTCTAGTTTATAGTCTAGTCTATAGTCTAGTTTATAGTCTAGTCTATAGTCAGTCTATTGTCTAGTCTATTGTCTAGTCTACAGTCTAGTCTATAGCCTAGTCTATAGTCTAGTCTATAGTCTAGTCTATAGTCTTGTCTATAGTCTAGTCTATAGTCTAGTTTACATTCTAATCTATAGTCTTGTGTATATTCTAGTCTATAGTCTAGACTATAGTCTAGTCTACAGTCTAGTCTATGGTCTAGTCTGTAGTCTAGTCTATAGTCTAGTCTACAGCCTAGTCTATAGTCTAGTCTATTTTCTAATCTATAGTCTAGACTATAGTCTAGTCTATAGTCTACTCTATAGCCTACTCTATAGTCTAGTATATAGTCTAGTCTATAGTCTACTCTATAGTCTAGTATATAGTCTAGTCTATAGTCTACTCTATAGTCTAATCTATAGTCTAATCTATAGTCTAGTATATAGTCTAGTCTATAGCCTACTCTATAGTCTAGTATATAGTCTAGTCTATAGTCTAGTCTTTAGGCTACTTTATAGTCTATAGTCTAGTTTATAGTCTAGTCTATAGTCTAGTTTATAGTCTAGTCTATAGACTAGTATGTAGTATATTCTATAGTCCAGTCTATAGTCTAGTCTATAAACTAGTCTATAGTCTAGCCTATACTTTAGTCTACCCATAGACTATAGTTTAGTCTATAGTCTAGTCATTAGTCTAGTCAATAGTATAAACTATAGTTTAGTGTATAGTCTGCTATATTATGTAGTCTATAGTCAATTCTATAGTGTAGTCTATAGTCTATTCTGTAGTCTAGTCTTTAGTTTATTCTATAGTCTAGTCTTTAGTTTATTCTATAGTAGTCTATAGTCTTGTTTATAGTCTAGTTATAGTCCTAGTTTATAGTCTAGTCGATATCATAGTCCTACGTCTAGTCTAAAGCCTAGTTAACAGTCCAGTCTATAGCCTAGTCTACAGTCCTAGTCTACAGTCTAGTCTATAGTCTAGTCTATAGTCTAGTCTATAGTCTAGTCTATAGTCTAGTCTATAGTCTAGTCTATAGTCTATTCTATAGTCTAGTCTATAGTCTAGTCTATAGTCTAGTCTATAGTCTAGTCTATAGTCTAGTCTATAGTCTAGTCTATAGTCTAGTCTATTGTCTAGTCTATAGTCTAGTCTATAGTCTAGTCTATAGTCTAGTCTATAGTCTAGTCTATAGTCTAGTCTATAGTCTAGTCTATAGTCTAGTCTATAGTCTAGTCTATAGTCTAGTCTATAGTCTAGTCTATAGTCCTAGTCTATAGTCCTAGTCTATAGTCTAGTCTATAGTCTAGTCTATAGTCTAGTCTATAGTCTAGTCTATAGTCTAGTCTATAGTAGTTTCGTCTATAGTTAGTCTATAGTCTAGTCTATAGTCTAGTCTATAGTCTATCTATAGTCTATCTATAAGTCTGTCTATAGTCTATCTATAGTCTATTCCCTATTAGTCTGGTCTAGATCTAGTCTATAGTCTAGTCTATAGTCTATCTAGATGTGGCCTATATTCAGTCTACATTCTAGTCTACACTAGTCTATAGTCTAGTCTATGTCTAGTCTATAGCTAGTCTATAGTCGAGTCTATATCTAGTTAGTCCTAGTCTATAGTCCCCTAGTCTATAGTCTAGTCTATAGTCTAGTCATAGTCTAGTCTATATTCCTAGTCTATAGCGAGTCGTATAGTCTAGTCAGATCTAGTCAGAGTCTAGTCTATAGTCTAGTCTATAGCTTGTCTATAGTTGTCTGTTTATAATCTAGGTCTAGTCTATACTATCTACAGTCTAGTCTATAGCCTAGTCTAACAGTCTAGTCTATAGCCTAGTCTACAGTCTAGTCTATAGCCTAGTCTACAGTCTAGTCTATAGTCTAGTCTATAGTCTAGTCTATAGTCTAGTCTATAGTGTGGTCTATAGTCTACTCTATAGTCTAGTATATAGTCTATAGTCTATTCCATAGTCTAGTCTATAGCCTAGTCTATAGTCTAGTGTATAGTCTAGTTTATAGTCTAGTTGATAGTCTAGTCTTTACTGTAGTTTAGTATATAGTCAAGTCTGTAGTATAGTCAATGGTCTAGTCTACAGTCTAGTCTATGGTTTAGTTTATTGTGTACTATATATTACACTATAGTCTAGTTTATAGTCTGGTTTATAATCTAGCTTATAGTCTCGCCTATAGTGTAGTCTATTGTCTCGTCTATAGTCTAGTCTATAGTGTAGTATGTAGTCTAGTCTGTAGTCTAGTCTATATCCTAGTGTATAGTCTAGTCTGTAGTCTAGTCGATAGTATAGTCTACTGTCTAGACAAGATAGTATAATATATTGTATAGTCTAGTCTTTAGTCTATATTCTAGTCTAAAATGTAGTCTATAGTCGAGTCCTTTGTAGGATTTTCTTCGAATATATTCCAAAAATTCAGAAGACACGATCATTTTTAACATTTCAACGTTTCTTTAAACTTTCAAAACCATTGATGCCTTAATTATAATTAACTATTTCTTAATTAAAATGAAAACTATGAGCACTGCCATTCACTTGTAGTTTTAACTTTATTCTTTTATTTATTTTTATATATTGATTTTCTTTAAGATTTTATAGGGTTTTTTTATAGTTTTTATATAGTTTATTTATATTTTTATATATAGATTTTTTTATATATTGAAAATTATATTTTATTATTGTTTTGTAATAATTTTTTTGCTTGCTATAATATGTAAATATTTAGAATGTTTCACATAGTTCTAGAACTTTTTATATATGTCGGTATTTATATACCATTTAAGATTTTTTAATAACTATCACAGATTAATGATACTTACATAAACAAGAAACAGTGATAAAAATGTTTTTATATATAGATATTTTTTATAATTTATAAGGATAATCATTTTAAATTTTTAATAAATTTTTTAAATATAAAATGGAGAGCTAATAAAGCAATAATAAAACTCTTATGTTAAAACATTTAGATTTAAATTGACATGCTAAATTGAAATCATATGGCATGTCTGGACAGAAATAACCCCTAATAGGAAAACGTTTTGGAGGAAACCAAAATCTAGAGATCCTTTTAAATTAAAAATTTTAATTTTAAATTCCTTATATTGAATACTATTACGCTTTAATCTTTATATTCACCTGATTTAAAAGAAATTAATAATTTTTGGTCAAAAAATATTATTTCTGTTTAATAATTTTGTAAAAAAATCCGTTTTAGAATGACACAAATGACAGCCTTAAAAGTCAAATTTCAGATAAACATCCAGCTCATTTAAATAAAAACCTTAAAAAAGAATATAAAGGATATTAATAAAATCTATTTTTTTCAATACAATTAAAAAGCTCAAGAAAACGCTTAAAATTTTGGTAAATTGTGCATATTTTCACTGTCAGACTATAGACTAGAAATTATCTAGAACTAAACTAGAACAGTACTTGAAATGAGCTAAAATTGAAATAGAACAGAACTGGAAAAGAACTAAAACTGAACTAGACGAATTCAACTAGAATGGAACTGGAGTAGAACTAGAACAGAACTTGAACTGACTATAGACGAGACTATAGTCTAAAGTCTAGTCTATAGTCTAGTATAGACTATAGACTAGACTATAGACTAGACTATAGACTAGACTATAGACTAGACTATAGACTAGACTATAGATTAGACTATAGTCTAGTCTATAGTCTAGTCTATAGTCTAGTCTATAGTATAGTCTATAGTCTAGTCTATAGTATAGTCTATAGTCTAGTCTATAGTCTAGTCTATAGTCTAGTCTATAGTCTAGTCTATAGTCTAGTCTATAGTCTAGTCTACAGTCTCAGTCTATAGTCTAGTCTATAGTCTAGTCTATAGTCTAGTCTATAGTCCAGTCTATCGTCTAGTCTATAGTCTAGTCTATAGTCTAGTCTATAGTCTCGTCTATAGTCTCGACTATAGTCTCGTCTATAGTCTAGTCTATAGTCTAGCCTATAGTCTAGTCTATAGTCTAGTCTATAGTCTAGTCTATAGTCTAGTCTAGTCTATAGTCTAGTCTATAGTCTACTCTGTAGTCTAGTCTAGTCTATAGTCTACTCTGTAGTATAGTCTATAGTCTAGCCTATAGTCTAGTCTATAGTCTAGTCTACAGTCTAGACTATAGTCTAGTCTATAGACTAGTCTATAGACTAGTCTATAGTCTAGTCTATAGCCTAGTCTAAAGTCTAGTCTATAGTCTAGTATATAGTCTGGTCTATAATCTAGTCTATAGTTTAGTCTATAGCCTAGTCTATGACCTAGTCTATAGTCTGCCCTATAGTCTAGTCTATAGTCTCGTCTATAGTCTAGTCTATAGTCTAGTCTATAGTCTAGTCTAGTCTATAGTCTAGTCTATAGTCTAGTCTATAGTCTAGTCTATAGTGTAGTCTATAGTCTAGTCTATAGTCTAGTCTATAGTCCAGTCTATAGTCCAGTCTATAGTCTAGTCTATAGTCTAGTCTATAGTCTAGTCTATAGTCTAGTCTATAGTCTAGTCTATAGTCTAGTCTATAGTCTAGTCTATAGTCTAGTCTATAGTCTAGTCTATAGTCTAGTCTATAGTCTAGTCTATAGTCTAGTCTATAGTCTAGTCTATAGTTTAGTCTATAGTCTAGTCTATAGTCTAGTCTATAGTTTAGTCTATAGTCTAGTCTATAGTCTAGTCTATAGTCTAGTCTATAGTCTACTCTATAGTCTAGTCTATAGTCTAGTCTAGTCTATAGTCTAGTCTATAGTCTAGTCTATAGTCTAGTCAATAGTCTAGTCTATAGTCTAGACTATAGTCAATAGTCTAGTCTATAGTCTAGACTATAGTCTAGTCTGTAGTCTATAGTCTAATCTATAGTCTAGTCTATAGGGTAGTCTATAGCCTAGTCTAGTCTATAATCCAGGCTATATCCTACTTTATAGTCTAGTGTATAGTCTAGTCTGCAGTTTAGTATATTTGCACAATTGTGCCAACTTAAACATTTAAATGAGTTCCCTAAATGAATTTCGAAATATTAATTTTCATTATTTAGGGTTAATTCTGCTAAACATGCCATTATTATTAAATTAACATAAAACAAAATTAACAGTAAAATAAAGCAAAAAAAAAAAGTAAATTTTTAGTTAGTAAAAAAGTACATCAATTAATAAAATTTCATAAAAAAAATAACAATATTTCATACACAATAAAAAACACAATTAAGTATGCAAAGCATAATGTTGTAACTGTTGTTGCACAAGATTAGTATCATGCTCTAAATTGGCAGTAGCAGTATTTAAGGCATTTCTGCTACCGCTATTGCTATTATTAAGGGTATTGCTAGAGCCAGCAGGAGTACGCGATAGACCCAAATTTGGTGAGGAGCCAGAGATTTGTAAGGGTGCGCCTGCTGGTGAGCGCGTTGCTCCAGCTATGTTAGTACAATTTGTGGCCGATCTAGCACGAGATAAATTTGTTAGCCTACCAGGTATTCTAACGTTCTCACACGCCTCGCAAATATTCAATTGTGGATGATTACGGAATGTACACATACTGCACTCCCAGGGCTGTTCGATCACTTCTTCATACTCCTCTTCACTATCATCGACTATGGGCTCTTGATTGACGAAATTACTGTGATCTGTATACAAATGATTGCTGTTCAAAGGAGCCGATTGCTGGTGATAGTATGAGGGTATTGTTAAAGAATTGTTGTGATTTTGCTGTTGTTGTTGTTGTGGTGGATTATAGAAATTTAGATTTGGTAATGAAGCGGCAGGTGGTGTATGTGGCGTTGATGTTTGACTATGATGTTGTATTATATCTAGACTAGTTTGACGTGGTGGTGGTGGCCTTGGCGGCGGACGTGTCATCCTTTGTCTTGGGAATGGTTGAGGTTGTGGTGGCCTTTGTTGTGGCTGATGATCTATTGCTAGTTCCTGTTGTAATGGCGGTTGTGTAAAGGGGTTACCTATTTGATTTTGAAATAAATGATTATAAATTATTTCTATTTTCTTTTATTATTGCTGCTGTAAACTTACTACTTCTAAGCATGTCTTGACAATCTCTCCTCAATTTTGTTATTTCCTCATCCAGTCTTTCGGATAGACCCTGTGTAGGTATCGTCCCAGTAAGTAAATTTATTTCTTGTTCTACATTGCCCAAACGTTTTTTATAATTACGTAGCGCGGCTGCCAATTTATCGCGTTTTTCCTTTTGGCGTTGCAGAATTTCTTGGGTGGGACCTGGAAAAGAAATAATCATAAAAAATTAGTTTAAAATTTAGTTAAATTTTATGTATTCTATACTCTTATCTATTTTTAGTAAGTCAAATCTGTAGTCCTATCCGTAGTATAGTCTGCATTGAACTGAACTAGAACAGAACTAAAACAGAACTAGAACAGAACTAGAACTAGAACAGAACTATAACAGAACTAGAACAGAACTAGAACAGAACTAGAACAGAACTAGAACAGAACTGGAACAGAACTAGAACAGAACTAGAACAGAACTAGCACAGAACTAGAACAGAACTAGAACAGAACTAGAACAGAACTAGAACAGAACTAGAACAGAACTAGAACAGAACTAGAACTGAATTAGAATTGAACTAGAACTGAACTAGAACAGAACTAGAACAGAACTAGAACAGAACTAGAACAGAACTAGAAAAGAACTAGAACAGAACTAGAACAGAACTAAAACAGAACTAGAACAGAACAAGAACTGAATTAGAACTAGAACAGAACTAAAACTGAACTAGAACAGAACTAGAACAGAACTAGAACAGAACTAGAACAGACCTAGAACAGAACTAAAACTGAACTAGAACAGAACTAGAACAGAACTAGAACAGAACTAAAACAGAACTAGAACAGAACAAGAACTGAATTAGAACTAGAACAGAACTAAAACTGAACTAGAACAGAACTAGAACAGAACTAGAACAGAACTAGAACAGACCTAGAACAGAACTAAAACTGAACTAGAACAGAACTAGAACAGAACTAGAACAGAACTAGAACAGAACTAGAACAGAACTAGAACAGAACTAGAACAGAACTAGAATAGAACTAGAACAGAACTAGAACAGAATTAGAACAGAATAAGAACAGAACAAGAACTGAATTAGAACTAGAACAGAACTAAAACTGAACTAGAACAGAACTAGAACAGAACTAGAACAGAACTAGAACAGAACTAGAACAGAACTAGAACAGAACTAGAACAGACCTAGAACAGAACTAAAACTGAACTAGAACAGAACTAGAACAGAACTAGAACAGAACTAGAACAGAACTAAAACAGAACTAGAACAGAACAAGAACTGAATTAGAACTAGAACAGAACTAAAACTGAACTAGAACAGAACTAGAACAGAACTAGAACAGACCTAGAACAGAACTAAAACTGAACTAGAACAGAACTAGAACAGAACTAGAACAGAACTAGAACAGGACTAGAACAGAACTAGAACAGAACTAGAATAGAACTAGAACAGAACTAGAACAGAACTGGAAAATAACTGGAACAGAACTAGAACTGAACTAGAACACAACCTAACTAGAACTGAAATAGAACTGAACTAGAACTAAACTAGAACTGAACTAGAACTGAACTAGAACTGAACTAGAACTGAACTAGAACTGAACTAGAACAGAACTAGAACTGAACTAGAACTGAACTAGAACTGAACTAGAACTGAACTAGAACTGAACTAGAACTGAACTAGAACTGAACTAGAACAGAACTAGAACAGAACTAGAACAGAATTAGAACTGAACTAGAACTGAACTAGAACTGAACTAGAACTTAACTAGAACTGAACTATAACTAGAACTGAACTAGAACTGAACTAGAACTGAACTAGAACTGAACTAGAACTGAACTAAAACTGAACTAGAACTGAACTAGAACTGAACTAAAACTGAACTAAAACTGAACTAGAACTGAACTAGAACTGAACTAGAACTGAACTAGAACTGAACTAGAACTGAACTAGAACTGAACTAGAACTGAACTAGAACTGAACTAGAACTGAACTAGAACTGAACTAGAACTGAACTAGAACTGAACTAGAACTGAGCTAGAACTGAACTAGAACTAAACTACAACGGAACTAGATCTAGTTAGACTATAAACTAGTCCTTAATTTAATTAGTAGACTATATTATAGTCTAAAAAATGATTTTATTTTTTAAGTTTTGAATAGAAATTTGTAATCTAACGATCAAAGTAATTTTTTGAAATGTTCTCATTTATTAAAAAATGTTGACATTTTGTTTTATTTTTACTCTTCATTGATAAAAAAAAAACAACTCTACTCTCAATCACTAAGTGGAAAAATATAGGTAATTCCCCTTGTCCTCCAAAAAAAATTATAAAAATAGCAGCAAACGTCATTAAAAGTGTGAAATATTTTTAGGCTAATTTTGTTTTCTACAAGCAATTAACAATAGTTTTTCTATTGTTTTTTTTTTTTTAAACAAACACATGTTTGTTAAAGATTCTTAAACTTTTAAAAATAGTTTATTATATATTTTGTTAAATTAAGTGAACCAAAAATTAGCATAATTTAAAATTACTTAAATATTTTCTTCTCGGGTGCTTTGTACTCTCCCCGTTGCTGTTAATAAATAAAAAATTTTCCTTAAAAATTTTCATTTTTTTTTTTTTTTTGTTTCAAGTTCATGGGTGAATTTGTTTTTTTATTTTTCATATTTTTTTGTCCAATTTCATTATCTTTTTGCAAAAAAAAAAAAAAAAAAAAAAAAAACGAATTTAATCACGAGTTATTATTTTGTTTATTTGTTATATTTTTATACCCACCATCAAAAAAGATGGGAGTATATTAATTTTGTCATTCCGTTTGTAACACATCGAAATATTGGTCATAGACCCACAAAAGTATATATATTCTGGGTCCTCATTAAATTCTAAGTCGATCTAGCCATGTCTGTCCGTCCGTCCGTCTGTCTGTCTGTCTGTTAAAAGCACGATAGAGTCCCAATGGAAAGAGCTAGAGGGTTGAAAATTTCACATAAATATTTTTTACAGGTAAGGTTTGTTTGGTATTGAAAATGGGCAATATCGGTCCACATTTTCTGATAGCCCCCATACAAGTGGCCCCTCGAAAAGCAGCTTTAACAGCCATAACTTGTTTAAAAATACGAATATAGCGATAAAATTCGACATAAGTAAGTTTCTTATGATCCAAAATCATTATGCAAAATTTTATGAGGATCGGTCCATAATTGACCCTACCCCCCATATAAGGTCCCCTTCAGAAAATGACTTTAACGCTCATTACTGGCTTAAAAATACTAGTATATAGATTAAATTCGACATAAGTAAGTTTCATACGAGTCCAAATCTATCTAAAAAATTTTATGAGGATCGATCCATGATTGACCCTACCCCCCATATAAGGTCCTCTTTAGAAAATGACTGCAACGCTCATTAATGGCTTAAAAATACGAGTGTAGCAATGAAATTCGACACAAATAAATTTAATACGAAACAAATTCTGTCTACCAAATTATATTAGGATCGACCCATAATTGACACTACCCCCTATATAAGGTCCCCTTCAGAAAATTACTTTAACGCCTAAAAAATAGGAGTATATACATGAAATTCGACATAAGTAAGTTTCATTCTAGTCAAGCGAGGTTTGATAGTGGGTATATAAGATTCGGCATAGCCGAATATAACACTCTTACTTGTTATATTTTCTTAAGAATTTTTGTTTTGTGTGAACTCTAATCTCTCCTCTTTCCTCTCCTTCTACTCTTCACTTATTGTTTTTTTATAATTTCTGTTAATGTTTTTTTTTTTCTTTCTCTGACACAAATAGAGCGTAAATTCTTCGATTAGCTTGCAATAAATTTGAAATTAGCTTTTATTTATATAAATTTTTCATTTTTGTTTTTGGGGGAATCTTCTTTTTATTTAAATTTAAAATTATCCTATATAATTTAAGTGTTAGGTGGGTGTTTTAAACGTTTTTTTTTTCTTTTTGGCGTGGGAAATATTTTTTTTAATAAATATTTTTTAAAAATTGTTGGGGATTTATTAGGATTTAATATGTGAAGGGTGCTGGCATGAGAGAAAGTTCTATAGATCATCCTAAAGGACAGAGAACTGTCATAGCACTTTAGTACTTTGGCAGGAGTACAAAACTTTCATACAATTCCTAATTTTATAAAATCTTTGCCAAAGGAAAAATCTCTCTAATTAAAATTGTTGCCATAATATACAAATCTTTTGTTATTTATTAGTTTATATCTTTATTTAAGCAAATTTTAATAGCTTTTCTTTAAGATTATATTTTAATTAATATATTTTTGCATATTTTAAAATCATAATATTTTCTAAAACTCATAAATATTTCGTAATAAAAAAAGATTTATATTTTTATGCGCCGCTAAAGAAAATAAAATGTTTTATTTACAAATCGTATGATTTTGAAAATAAAATACAGAAGTTTTTTTTTGCGTTTTTCAAATATTTTAACAAAATTTTAAAAACGTGTAGGAAATTTTGTTTAAAATGTGTTTTTAAGGTTTCCATAGTCTAGATACTAGGCTTTACTGCAGATTAAACTATAGAAACGACTATAGACATTATTATAGATTAGAAAAAATTTTAAAATAGACTATAGCCTAGATTATAATCTAAACTAGTTCAATTCTAATTTTGTTCTACTTTTGTTCTAGTTCTATTCTAGTTTTGTTCTATTTCTGTTCTAGTTCAGTTCTAGTTCTGTTCTAGTTCTATTCTAGTTCTGTTCTAGTTTTGTTCTATTTATGTTCAAGTTCTGTTCTCGTTCTGTTCTAGTTCTGTTTTAGTTCTGTTCCAGTTCTGTTCTAGTTCTGTTCTAGTTCTGTTCTACTTCTGTTCTAGTTCTGTTCTGTTCTAGTTCTATTCTTGTTCTGATCTTGTTCAGTTGTTGTTCAGTTCTAGTTCAGTTCTAGTTCAGTTCTAGTTCAGTTCTAGTTCAGTTCTAGTTCAGTTCTAGTTCAGTTCTAGTTCAGTTCTAGTTCTAGTTCAGTTCTAGTTCAGTTCTAGTTCAGTTCTAGTTCAGTTCTAGTTCAAGTTCAGTTCTGGTTCAGTTCTAGTGCAGTTCTAGTTCTGTTCTAGTTCTGTTCTAGTTCAGTTCTATTTCAGTTCTAGTTCAGTTCTAGTTCAGTTCTAGTTCAGTTCTAGTTCAGTTCTAGTTCAGTTCTAGTTCAGTTCTAGTTCA